AAAAGGCATTGCTCTATTATGTACCAGCCTTCTAGGCATTTGGTTTTTTGTTTTGTTTTGTTTTTTAAATGTAATTAGATCCTTTCCAATCTTAGCCAGCTTATCGACATGTTAAAATGTCTTTCCAAAGTTTTTTTCCACAAACCTTCTATAATTTTTCTTTTTACATTCAGATTCTCTTTTTCCTCTTTTCCATTCTGAAATAACCAGTCTCACATTAGAACAAAATTACTTTCTTTTCCCTCAGCAAACTGCATCTCTGTTCCTCATTCCTTCTCTTACCAAAACACAATCTTACTTTCCATGCACACAGAGATATTGCCCTTTTTCTTTCTAGAAAACAGTTGTGAATTGTCTGTTACTGACAAATTTGTAAATAATTTCATAATTCCTTGAAGTATGTTTTCCTCATAGTACATTTTCCAGTGTGGCACAAAACGTGTTTACCCTTAGATCCAAGTATCTTATTTCCTCTGTAAAGGAAGCCAAAAATGTATAAGCCTATTTTAAGTAATATTTCAGTATTTTATTTTATTTGGAGATAACCTAGATATTTAACAAACGTTACTTAACTCATCATGTAAATTAACTTAGCAAAACTTCATGGTTACAAGTAACCAAAAGATTTTGGAACCTCTAATGAAAAGGTCACCTAGAAACTCTTAGCTTATTTACATCTATTTAAACCACTTGTTCTTAACAATCATGTTTAGATTACCTACAAAAATTTCATTAGACAGAGATAATCATCATTCTAAGTTAAAACTTCATTAGACAGAGATAATCATCATTCTAAGTTATTTTTCTGGCAAACAAATTTTAAAGAGATAACATGAACTTATTTAATTAGTAAGCCCAGGTAGAATGAAATATTATATTTAATGCTGATAACTCTTAAAGATATGCTTGTTTTAATTAAATCAACAACTTCAGCTTTTATTCACTAAAGATTAATCCTGTATCATGTGAACTTGAAAAACATTTGAGTTTTTCTATTTTCAAGAGTTTTAGGAATCTTTAATTCATATAAGCAATTACTTCTTTCCAAACCAATCACATAGAGCTCTTCTACAAATCAATTATAGTTAATACCATCCAGAGGTAGAAAATACCATACATCTACAACACATACACATAGATACACATAAACATACAGAGAGACACAAACAGGCAATTTATAGCTTTTGTTTAAAAATTTTAGCCATGAATCACATACAATAACACAAAACTCACTAATTATAAAAATGGTTGGATTCTAAATTACATTTCTGGCAGATGGAATAATTTAAGGTTACCTACTCAAATGGCTAAAGTTTTTATTAATATTAGTGGGGAAGACACTTAAGATTTTCCATTTGCCAAAGTTTCAAAGTAACCTTTCCCCCTTTGATTTTTCTTCTGATAAGAATTACTTCCCTGACATTTTCATTTCAAGGAGATGGCCTAGATAAGAAGATAAGAGTTCTAGGAGAATACCAGGTGGAACATTTACATCTCAAAGCATTGAGAAAGAATGCAAGTTCCTCCAAGAAGAACTTTGTTCCCTAAAGCCAGAAATTTTACAGTACCTACAAGCTGTTTGTCTTTGGAATGTTTTTAGTAAATCCTTTCACAAAAGCTTCAGAAGGGTTTTCTTTCCCTCTGGGCACATAGTTTTATTTTAGCTTAGGGGAGAAGGCCTTAAAAAATCCCTGTCAGGCTCTGAATATCAGCTTTGAATTTGCCAACCTGTGATAACAGAACTACTTTAAAAAAATCCTTTCAAATATCTTGTTACTTTTCAGCCAGGACCAACAGTAAACAGTTTTGATAATATTGAATAATCCTTCTTGGATTCAAGAAGAGTCCCCCGAAAGGATGCAGAAGATACTCTATTCTCCTCTCTCTACCTGGTATTATAGGCAGAGATTCAGGAGAGCAGCCTCTGAGTAAGAATTCTTATCAATTTTTTCAGGATCCCAACTGCAGGCTCTAAGTGGGGTTTAAAGTAGAGAGTGTAGCTACAGTATCTACCAGAACTTGGTAAGATCTTTTTAATTAATTTTAATTTTAGTTTCATCTTGGCTGTTTAAAAGTATTACTGGTAGCAACTTACCAGAGCCCATTAGCTCTTGAAGGCGCCCCATGGGGGCTCCACTTGGGGGTACATATGGGAGCATTTGAGTTACTGTTGAAGATTTTCCACAGAGTCTTTGAGGACAACTTTTTTCCCCCAGTGCCCAGGCTGATTACAAATAAGATAAAAATCCTTGGGCCAGCATTTTGATGATGGATGCTTAGGAGGGTGTGATTTAGAAGGTGCAGGTGTTATTTTAGGTGCCAGACCTTGGAGCTGTTGTAGGTGTAAGGTCAATGGCTTAGCAGATTTTTGCTCGTGATCTTGCTCCAAAGCATAGGGCCACTTGGTGTCCTTTAATGTCCAATGACCCCCATTCCTGGGCTCTCGGATGTCTGCCTGTGGTCCCTCAACAGATAAAGTATATTCTTTACTGGGCGTGTTTGCCCTAACAAACTAATAGCCCAGGTAATGCCTATTCTCACAATAGCTCAGGCTGGCTTGTTTCAGCCCACATTATCAGTCATAAACACTACCATCCTTCACAGACTCTAAACTTCTTATCTCACCTACAATCAATCAGACTTGTGCACAAGCCGATCAGGCATCTTGTGACCCTACCTTATAAAAGACCCCAACAACTGACCCTCAGGGCGCCCACAGGCACCTCTCTTCTGTGTGGCCCACTGTTGTCTATGGCAGAGTAAAACAGTTATTAAACTTTTCCTTGTTCTTAAACTTTCCTTGGTCTCTGGTAAATTCTTTTACCAACCTGCGTCATTGGCCTGACCACCTCCACAGCGTTGTGTTCCACAACACAAAGTACTTTCAAAGTGAATTCAGTCAAACCAGTAGCCTCCCATCCTATTTTCTGCCTTTTTATTAGTCCATATATCTCAGGAGATAATCCACTTACAAACAAGGCAGCTAGAGCAGGTGGCATGACCTCATTTACTGAATGAAACCTGGAATGCTTTAGGAAAAGAGCTTCCAGACAGGCTTTAAAATCTGCAAAAAGTCACTTTCTTTTGTTTGCATGTTTGAATAACAGACCAATCAATGTGGGCAGGGAAGACTTTAGGAATGGCTTTTAAAAGATTGGTTGCTATTTCATGAGCTTTTTTTTTTTTTTTGGTCCATGAGGAAATCATGTTGAACACCGAGGATCTCATCCTCAGGGTTATGTCATTTGCTTCCCACATCCACATCCATTTTTGGCTTCATCAGGTCCTACCAAAATACACAACTTCAGGTGGTGTTATTTTAAAAGGCAACTGTTCAACTGTCCAGTAGTCTCTCCATAGTTCAGGTAGACAATTAGTAGGATGTGAGCATCCGGAAAGGGACAGAGGAGAACAGTAGGAGTCATGTCAGTTTCATTGTCTTTTGTTTAGGTACCTCTTGGTCTTCAAATTTCCAATAGTCTTTTGCTACTAATTTTTTGGTGAGGCTATTTTGGAATCTTGAAGTATTTTGGGTGCTTCTGCATACCAATTAAAATAAGTTTCCCATTCTATTTGTTTAATTCAGGAACCCTTGCACTCATGCTCCACTTCTTAAATGGACATCTTGTCTAATCAAAACATTCCCCATAATGGCCATTGTAATTCCAGATTGTCTTTAATAAGATTTAGCTATTTTTGTAGATATTTATAGATTCTAGGACCATAGTTCTTAGACAAAAAATAAGCAGGTATGCCAGAGGTGGCATGCTTGACTCTTTGAAATTTGAGGATCCTGTTTTATTATTATTAGTTCATATATTTGCTTTGGCTAAGCTTTTGGGTCTTTTGGAGCCAAACTAGCACTAAACGGGAGTGCCTCTGCGTTAGGAATGTGTGATGTTTTACAGCGTAACTCATTACACAGAGGTTTGCTTGAGATTGGTGGGTTAGTATCAATCTAACCCATTCCATGACCAATTCATCCTAACAAACATGGGTGTATTAGGCAGTGAGCACTCTGACAGCTTTTAAATGCCCGATTCATGTACATCTTTGCGGTTTTTTGGCTTCTGAGATCCCCATTAGCAATAGCCTCTATCTCATGTGCATATTAAAGAACCAGCATTACCAATGAGATGTTACTGTGGACTGGCCAATGGAAGGTTCTGTGTACACTGTTGGGACAACTGACATCCTTCAAAGTCCAACAATCCCCATTTCTGGGCTCTCAGATGTCTGCCTGTGACCCCTCAACAGATAAAGTACTTTCTTTACTGGGGGTGTTTCCCCTAAAACACTAATAGCCCCAGGTAATGCCTAATCTCACAATAGCTCAGGCTGGCTTGTTGCAGCCCACATTACCAGAGTCACAAACCCCATTGCCCTCCATAGACCTTAAACTTCTTACCTCATCCACAACCAGTCAGAGACTTGTACACAAGCCAATCTGGCACCATGTGACCCTACCTTATAAAAGACCCCAACAACTGACCCTCGGTGCTCACACAGGCATCTCTCATCTGTGTGGCCAGCTGCTGTCTATGTCAGTGCACCTAACGAACTCCTTTTCTGTTCTCATACTTTATCTCTGGTAAATTCTTTTACCAACCCATGCATCACCATGTCACCGGCCACCACATTGTGTCCCACAATATACACAAACAGCAATTCCCACAGAACTAGGGAGGAATTGAGGAAAGGGCTAAACCAGAAGATCCCAAAGAGTAGGGACTGCAGACTGATTCCAAATAAATGAGGAACTGCTGGCTAAACTGCCAATAGCTCCCAATGTGGAATGCCAATGTCCTAATGTGGGGGCAGAACCAACAGCTGGAATTTTCCCAACCAAATGGGGAATTGCAGGCTGAACCAAAGGCTAGGGACTTGGGTTCTGGATGGAACCATGTGCTAGCTCATGCTGACCTGCCCTGAACTGAAAAGTCAATTTGGTTAGGAGCTTTACACAAAGAGAATGGAGCTCAGAACCGAGAGGAACTTACCCATAGCCCTCAGAAATGGCGAGAAAGAGAACTCAGAAGAGTTTGTGGGTACTACACCAGTATTTCTCATTGTCCCCAATGCCATCAAAGTCTCCTTAGATTCCACCGCTGCCACCAAATCTGTTAAAAAAAAAAATTCAACTCAGTAAATTTGAAGATGTAATTTGCTTAATTTAATGATTCACGAGTTAGGCAGCATCCCATCTCAGCAGATAGAAAGGAGCTCTGAGTGGCTATACAAAACAGAAAACTTTTATAGGCAGAAGGTAACGGGGCAATGAAGCTAATCTAGCAAAGAATGGATTGTTTCTGGCAAGGTCACTTTTCTTTGCAGGAAAGGCAAGGGGCTTTCAGGCAGATTACCACATTAATACTAGCCAGGTAATTCCATTGGCTGGTTAAAGGTCACATTTCTGGGAGACGCTGAAACTGAAATTAGGTTAGGTAGGAAGTCTTGGTTTGCTGGAATGAGACTTAGCACAAGTAACTCCATTTTGAGACTGTCGTTTCTTTTCTTCTTCTTCTTCTTCTTTCTTTTTTAACAGCTTGATATTTCAACTGTGTTTTCTCAGGCTCACAGGCACAGAATGATTTCTACCTACTTAGTATGGCAAAATGTGTATATCTGTCCTGTCTCTGCCACCTTTCCTTTCCACTGAATTTGCAAATTGCAAGGAAATCACACAGATAAAGGGATTAAAATGCAATAACTTAGGTAAGGGGGAGGCTTCAGAAAGATATGATCTGAGCTGGCTCCTTTGATCTATATAAAAATAACATTTATCATGATAGACTTACAGTTTAAAAAGCAGATAAAAAATAAACAAAATATTTGCTGCATATTTTATTCTCAGGTCATTGCAAACTAACCTCAGCACTTTGTGTTCCCAAAATTTGACCTGCTAAGTTCTAGAAGCTTTTAGGAGATGTCCAAGACATAAAAAGATCACACATGCACTTGAGGGGGTTACAATTTTGTTAGTAACTAGAAATTCAACCAATAGAAACATTAAAAGAAAATTTCCACAGTAATACATGAAGCACAAATAATGGAAGGTTAATGTAGACAAGCACATGTATTTGAAACTTCTTATCTTTAAGCCAGTGTAATATGTTTTCTCATTTGAAGATAGGAAATTTAAAAAATACTATACTTCCTTTCTGTGCTAGGCACTTATACACATACTATTTCATTTAACTTACTCAAACACACAGCGATCAAGTGTCCAAATGATACCTGCTTCTCTAGATGAAGGAGCTAAGGTTTGGAGAGGTTATTAACTTGTCAAGGGTCATCACGATACCAAGAGCTATGGCCAGGGTCTCAGGGTCTCAGCTGCTCTCTTAAATCCCACTCCAGACCACTCTGGACCACATCACAGCTACATCCCAGTGCAGAGTTTCTCATTTTAAATGCAGGGAATTAAACTCCTCAAAGGTAGAGAAGCTGTCTCATCAAGGATATAAAATCTGTTAGTATAACCAGCTCATTCTGGTCTAGCCAGGACCTTCCTGGTTTTAGGCACCAAAACACTGCATCCTGGGAAATCACTCAGTCCTGGCTTAAAAAAGAAAATTTTGTGCAGCAGTAAACCTCTCAGTCTTAGGCAAACTAGGACAGTTGGTCACCCTACCTGTGGTTTATATACACAGATACAGGGGCAGAGTCAACCCTAGTATCTGCTTCTTTAACGTCACTTTCCCATGTCCCCACCGCAGCCTACATCTGATCCACTAGGGCCTAGCTAAAGCTCAGAGTCAAAAACAGCCCCTAAATGCAATAGAATCTCAACAAATATCTGTTGAATCAATGCCCCTGTTTGTCCAGTCTCCCAGGTCATGGGCCATGATGCTTTGCCTTTAGTCAATGTTCATCAAGGTTTACTGAATCATGTATAGATGAAATCAGCCCATAATCAACAGTAAGGGCAATCTTAAAGAGATAAAAATGTTCCAAGAAAGGGAGTGATCTGCCTTTTTCTTTCCCTCTCCTGGGCAGCAGCCTCCCCAAATTGTTGCTCAACTGCCAATGCCAGTTTCCAAAGGAGCAAAGGTCAAGGCAGGTGACCCAGTGACTGTACTGGACAACATTCTTACGTCCCAGGCAATGTGCTAATAATTAGCACAATTAATACTTGCAGTAACATGACACAGTTACTATTATTACTTCCATCTTGTGGCTAAGTTGACTTATGGATAAATTCTAAATTGACTGAATCCAGAGATCAAGCTTTTAGGTTAAAGGACATAGTATATCCCACGATACCATACAGTTGATGGACACACCATGCCTAACAATATGGTACCTCACTCATCCCTGTTGTCTTTGAGGTGTCTTGGTAATAACCAGAATAGTTATTTTTTGGTAATTGAGAGGTATTAGGGAGGAAAAGATTATGTAAACAGACCTTTGTATAATTTAGGGTACCTTAAGTTTGCCTGTTCTTTCTTCTGATTTTGGAACTTTGAGCTTAGAGTTTATAGATCCGAACTTGTGCCCAAAACTGTAAGCAGTTTTCCTATACCTGCATCTGCAAGTACTTGCAACTTACAAATGATTCCATTGAAAGGCCCAAAATGTGCCCTTCTGGAAAAAAAAAACTGCATACAATATCTTTGTCAAATGTTCCCCCTATCCTTCCCTTGCCCTCCCTTTCCTTTCCCTGTGTGTGAATGGAATATTCTTGTACTGACATAGCTAATTGAGGGAATCAACCAAAATGTAAATGTAGATAAAGCCCTACTCCTTGGGTATAATATCCTTAACTACTGATAATTATAGAGAATATATTGGAATTAGCTGAGTCCTCCAGGAGAATACTTCTTTAAACTCCTCTAATTTAACCTTGGAAATGCATAGAATCAAGGAATTTTAACACTAGACAGAACTTTAAAAATAATCTACTTTGGTGGTTTTCTAGCTTTGATCTGCAGGGGCCTGGGGGCCTGTTCAGTGAGTTACTGGCCAACAGGGTCCCACCAACATCAAGGGACAGTGACAGGTAAAGGTCAAATAGGGACTCGCACTCTGGCCACCCTCAATGCACATCGATGGCATATACTGTGAGCTGGCCCGCCCAGCACCCAGTCCCACCCTTTTCTGCCTGGCTTTCTTTCTGCACAGGGCCTGGGTTCAGTCAAGCAACACACAGGTACAAGGCAGCAACATGATAAGGCAGCCATATCTTCCAGCAGGGACAGTGGCAGCATCATCAGGCAGAGCTGTGTAGAGCTTCTGGGTTTCCATCCATAGTGGGGTAGAGATCAAGGGATAAGCAAGCAACAATGTCACTTCCAGCAGAACAGGGGCATGTTCTCCAGCCGCTTTGTTCCCGGGCGGGCAATATCCACGCCCAGCTGCCCAGCCCTGCCAGAGACCAGGTAGGCTAACTAGTGCCTTTTAGTAAAGCTCTTCCTACCTAAGCCAAGTAGATTTGGTTGTCGCAACCAAAAACCCAGATTTGCTTTTTTATCTTGATACAGTGTTTCCTTGTGATTTAATTTAACCAAGGAATTCTGGGAGGAAGAAAAAATGAAAACCACAGATTCTATCAGTGACATCATTTTATACATAAAGAACTTGGGGTTCAGAGAAGTGAAGCTATTAGTGGTAAATCTGAGTTTAGAATCCCATTCTCATGAAAGGCTCACCAAATAATGTTCCAGAGAGTGACCAAGACTTGTCCCTGGCAAACTACATGCCATTCAATTGCTCAGTCCTTAAGAATCACCTAGGTGGCCTTTGGCTGGCCCTTTGTGCACATCTATTAAAAAGCTCCAGTTTTACAAATTAAAATTTTGTTTCCTTTTACATTTCAAAAGTTTTCAACTATCCTGTTGTGGACTTTCAGGTCTTATTACTTTGTGAATGTCTCCATTGTTCTAATAAAATGTGGGTAGTATTGCTCAGACTCCTCCTTTCTGAAAGTATTAAGATATTTGGAGACAGTTTCTAGAACACTACATCAACTTGTTTTGCTTTTTTAATTACAAACATTTTTCCCAAAAGGTGTATCTATGTCTATATGACCAAAAGGTGCAGGCCTTTCAGACTACAGAGTTGCAGCATAGATGGAGTCAGAGATTACAGACTTACCATAGCTAAGAGCATGCTCTCTGGTACCCAGGGCCTGCTATCTACACTCGTTAGGATCTCAGTTACCTTATCTGAGAAAAACGTGAGTGATAATCATACCTACCCATCTCAGGGGATTGTTGTTAGAACTACGTGGACTTCATGCAAAAATTGCAGCATGCATAGGACATAATAAATACTTGATAAGAGTTAGTTGCTATATGTTTCTTCCTCTTCTTCTTATTAAAACAAAATCTTAACTATGAATGGGAAAATTCCAAAGTCTGAGGTCCTGGAGGTTAGAACTTCAACATACAAATTTGTAGAGACACAATTCAACTCATAGCAGTAATTATAACTAAATAAAATTGTTTATTAAAAAAACAACAACTACCAAAGCAGTTCAACTCAAATTCAACCATCAGTTTTATCATCAACTTTATGTAAGAGTTGAACGTCTTCCCTTTTTTCTAAAACTAAGTCACCTCTTAAAGTGTGAATATGGTCCTGACCCCCACCTCCCTCTCCCTCTCTCTCTCTCTCTCTCTCTCACTCTCACACTTTCACTTTTGGAGTTTAGACTACCCCGTGTTGTGGGTGATTCAGTTCTCTTATCCTTTTTCTCTCCTCTCACTTTTAACTCGTGAAATTTCTCCCGCTCTTTCTTTCTTAGAATGTGCTGAGATACTATGTGGCCTTCACCTGGCCACTGAGAAGACATCGTTTATACATCAAAACTGCCCTGTTTTTCTCTCGTTAGTTCCACATACTTTAAAGGGGTACTGCTTGGCACCAACATGATCATAAGCACAAACACAGACACTGGCACTCGATGGCATTTTTCTTCACTCAGTTATAAGGATGTCATTCAAATGATTCAGAATATGCTTATCTTAATTTTTCAGATTATTGAAACTTAAACAAATATAAATTTCTTATAGCAACCTAGCAGACTCCTGAGAGCATATCCACAAAATTCTGGGAGGCCTGAGGATCTCCGTCATAGTTACACCACTACTAGAGAAGGATTCCTGATCTAAAAATCACAAGAACTAGATTTTAGGCTTCATGCTCCTATTAACCAGCAGTATGACCTTGGATAAGGATTTAAATCCACCCAAACTTCACAGACACTCTGAAGTACATGGAAACCTCAGTGTTCTTGAGACTTGAATTTGCTCATCTGTAAAATGAAAGGGTTGAGCCAGATTATCTCTAAGGTTCTTTTCAGTCCTCAAATCCTGAGATACTGCTGAACTGCATTGCAATATAGCCTCGCTTCCAGTGACCGGTCTAAGTCACCATTTATTTCTCGCACATCTCTCTGCAGCCTTCTCTTCTCACAAAGTCACAAAACTCAAAAACTAAGTCCCTTTTCAGGAACATGGTTGTTGTGCAGTACAGGGTTTGGACAGGATACAGACTTGAGGGTACAAAGTGAATCAAATTTCAGAGAATAAGGATTTCAGCAGATAATGAGTCTAGTAGGTGAGGACCTAACTATTCATGAAAATGGAATAGGGGCAATGTTTTACTCAGAAGAGACTGTTAATGTGCTCAGAGCTAGAGTGTGAGCATCTCTATTATAAAAATAAAGTGAAGTGCAGGCAGAATGCAGACACACTTGACAGAGGAAGGTTGGGTAAAATGGAGGGAAATTCTGTGAGCAGGATGTGTATAAACCAGTGGTGTCTATGCTGCCTGCCAATCTTTCCTTTATAGCCTGGGAGGCCCTTAGGACTAAAAGTAAATGTGGATATTAAACTTATGATAATAGAGGCACTGAATTCCAGTGCAGTAGTCTCTAAGCATTTTCTTACAAGGAAAGGTTCTGAACTTCCTAAAGTTTTATGGTAACTGAAAGAAGAAGCAGTACAAGCTGCTGCTGGGGCAGCTGACAAGTTTCCTCTCCCTGCTTTGTCTCTGGGACCCTGGGGAAGGCAGTGTGGTGACGTCAGTCAGGATAAGGAGTCAAGTCCTCCCTCCTCCCTTATCAGAATTGTTACGTGGACTAAGCAAGATGAAAGCCAACAGTAGGAGAGATTGCTATGCTTCTAATATATGTTGCTCTATTTGTAATGCAGCACATTGTAACATTTTCTCTACTGTTAGACACTAACCTTGTCTACCTTCGCTGGTTTCCCCTGGTGTTTGGTGTTGCTATGTATCTGAGTTCTTGCCAAAAGAACAGAGGTGGAGGTGATGTGAACGATTTCTTAGGTTGGCCCATAAAGTTTCCCCACATGGTCCTTTCTTTTGTCTTTCTTTCCCCATCCTCTTTGTGAATGGAAAGGAATCTGCAGAAACAGAGGAAGAAGAATCAAAAGATGGAAGCAGCCTGGGCCGTGAATGACCAAGTGGAAGCCACCCAGCCAGAAACATACTCTTACATGAGTGTGAAATAAACCTACCCTATTTAAGCCCCTAGGGTTCTTTGGTTTATTTGTCCCAGCAGCTAGCAGTATATTAACTAATACATTAATATTTAGTGAATGCTTGCTATATGCTAGGCACATACATATCTCTTTAATCCTCAGAAACCCTACAATACAGATGCAATTACAGACACATTCACACAGCTACATTGAGCTGGAATAGAAACTTTGGTAACACAAATAAGGAACTCCAGCTTGTAACTATTATAGTATATGGCCTCTTTCAATATGAGAAACATTACCAAGTGTATTACCTGGCACAGAGTAAATAATTTATGTTAATTTATGTTAGCTATTATCATACAGGCAAAAGAGAAATCAGAGAGCAAATAATTGAAAACAAACTTATCAACTAAAATCTTTACAGTAAAAAAGCAAATAACGTAAGTAAACCTTTATTTTTCAGTAAGGCCTGGCAGTCTAAAAATAAGTACTAATGAATATAGAAAAAAAATGGAATATGTTAAATTGATAATCCAAGCTATAGTTTATTCATCTATAGTTCAATAACCAAAATGGCCATTTCTAATAAGTATGTTTACTATAACATATGTTTTAGTGAATAATTGATAAAGGCCTTATTTCTCAGCAACAGAAGATTGGTAGAATTATACAGCCATAAAGCATTATAATTTCAAACAATTTTTAATGATATAAAGAAAATGCTCAAGATACAATGTGTTCTGTTTAAAAGACATTATTTTATTAATTGATTCAATTCGTTTGTTCAAAAGCTGTTTACTCAGTACCTATTGCATGCTGGGTGCGGGGCTAGGAGCTGGCCATCTTGTCTCTGCCTTCAAACAGTATATAGTCTATTTTTTTAGTATAGGCTTTGTCCACAGACTGCCACAATTTCCAGGGCTTAGTTTTCTTATGTATAAAATAAGGAGGTTGGATTAGATGACGTCAAGGGCTATGCAGCAATCAAGTTCTATGAGTGGAAACAGGATTCCTGATCCAGCCCAGCATAAGGGCATTACTGGTGTATCTGCAAGGTTATCACCCAATGAAAATTGCAATAGTACTATAAACTTCCTAATGTGAGTTATTTAGAACCATGAACCACCTTGGTTTGACCCAGATTGAGGGTCTTCCTGAAAATGTGAAACTTTCAGGACTCAATCCTGGAGAATTCTAGGCAGATCAAGACAGTTGGTCACCTAAGTTCCATGTCAAATGATCAATTTAAATGCTAAAGTAATTTAATTAATAATTATTAATAATTTATTAATACTTTTTTGTGTTGTAATGATTTCATATGCAGAACAAAACTGAAAGAACAGGAACTATGTATATACAGTAAAACCACTCAATTGTTAAAAACCTTTAGAGAAATAACACATTTGGCATGAAAGTTAACGATGATCACAACAATCACCAAATTGTGAGCTGCACAGTCATCATCCTCTAGGAGCTTGGTGATGATTATGTTAAAGCTATAGTGTTAATTCAGAGGCTGGAAAGAACACTGGCTACCAGCGCTCTATTAATATTTCAATTAGAGAGAGGTATTTTCAACTTTAAGAAATTGCGGCTTAGAATGGCATATTATAATTTTGTTCTCAAAATATAGATGTCCTTTTAAAGATTATTCTAATATGATCATCCTCTAAAGTTTCATCTTTTTTTTTATCCCCTCATTTACCACATAGACCAGTACAATTAGGCTAATACCAATTAAAATGTTTCTTCAAACTGAAGTTAAAGAACCTCAGGGGGTTGGTGGGGGAACCCAGAGGGATTTGCAGTGTCTCAACACGGCCAGCTCCAGGGGCAAGAACTCCTCCCTACATCAACAGTAAGACCTGGCTCTCCTGGGAACCCTGGGGGCTTTCTATCCACTTACTTCCATTCTCCACTAAAGCTTCCAAGGTCCCCAATGTATGAAATAAATAAATATTTACTAATATACTTAGGACCCCAGGACTGTGTGAGCTCACTAGGAGTGACTGAGTGTTTCCTCTTCATTCACCCCAACGACAAGGGGCTTTTAAGTGTTGGTTGATAAAATAATCCTGAAACCCCTTTGCAGAGTTACAAATTGGCAGTTTCTGAAATTTGGACCCATTAGCCATGTAGGCAATTCATCAAATTTCCAGTAGCAGAATCAAAATTCAGATTCCTTTGTAAATGCTCTGCCTCCATTTGTTCTATTCTGTCCTGTAGCAATCTTTTCAACACGTCACAATCCTCATCCTCCCCCCACCTCCCTCCCAGGCTGCCTCCCTAACTCTGGCATATACATTTCTTCCTCATGATAATGCTCCTTCTATCAGGAGCCACATATATGCAGTGGTCAAGTGGAAACAGTCAGAGCTTCCTTTCTCATTCTTGCCTTGGGGAAGAGGGAAATTAGTTTAAATAAATGATATGGTGATTTAAAAAGAAATGAACAGGGGGGAGACAGAGTCTGTTTCTCTCACTGGGGCTGCTAGTGCTTTTAAGATATTCTGTCACCTGTGTCAGTTCTGTGACATAATCATCCCACCTGTCTGACTTGATGTGTTGCTTTAGTCTTCACTACCTGGCTAATAATACTGAGTGTTTCCATGTGTTGAATGCTTACTATATACCAAGAATTGCATCAAGCCTTTTACAGGCTTACTCTTACTTAACCAGCATAACCCTGTGGGATAGGAACTGTTATTAACTTCACTTTATAGCCAAGGAAACTAAGGCTTAAAGAAGTAAAGTGACTTGCCCCAAAGGGACACAGCTCATAAATTGCAGTGCTGGAATTTAAAGCAGTGTCAGCCTGGTTTCAAAGCTCATGCACTAATGCCTGACTTGTTTTCTTCTTAGCTGGGCTTCACACCATTCTCATGAAGTCTCTTCCAAAACCTGGAGGCTATTAGACACCTTGACTCCTAGAAAGAGTAACTCCCCATCACCTTTAATTGCTTCAACTGCCCCCAAGGACCTACTTCTGTAAAGCCTCACCATGTGGGGTACAACATCATCTCCTTTCCACCCCAAGATGGACAGTCCCCAAAACCTAAAGAAACCTGTCTTCTACCTCTCTTGATCGCTCAAGTTCTGTATTTTCCACCAGAGATCCAAGCTACATATAATCATCATGAGAAAGTGGGAAAGAGACAGAAGCATGACTCTTGGGAAAGGTTCTAGACTTGACTTGCTTTGAAAGTTTTAAAATCTTTATAGGTAGCTCCCTCCCACCCTATTGTAATGGGCCTTTTTTGTATAGCTGTTCTTCTACTCTTCACCTCCCTTCTTCCCTGAATCATAATACCTTCTTTCCCCAGAGCCTTCTAAGGCACACCATGTTTCACTGGTATCTGAATGACAGTTTCAGGATAACATAAAATAAATGGACATATGAGAGCATCAAGTATTTATCAGACATTTATGAAATACACCAGGAATGCTATAGAAATCAAGACATAAGACTGTTGTTGTTAAATTTATACTATGTCCTTATAAGAATTCAAAAGACGATTCTGTATTAATGTATCTTTCCAAATTCCCCAGAAGTTCTAAGCTTGGACGTCATAAGGAAATGCCACCACATACCTTTGCCTGAAGTTGCTCGGCACTGAGGTTAATAATGCTCTAGCTTAAAGCAGATCCCCCAACAATTACAAAGAGCTTCTCTGGAGCCTGGCTCTAAACTAGCCGCTTAGAAGCTGAAACTCAGGTTCATGTACAGTTTCCAAAAGCCCATTTCCACCTTGCTCTCTGACACTTCCCCATTTCAAAAAGGCTGCATTCTCAATCTTCTGCTTCTTTGAGCACAACTTTCACACCTAACACATCACAAAGCTGTAATTACAAAGTTTCAGAAACCTTTTCTGAAAGCCTCCCTAAACCGGAAGCTGCTTTGCCATTCAAGTGTCTGAACACTTTCTTCCCGCTCCAAGGGCACAGACCAATTCCACAGCCACGCGTGTGTGTGCACACCCAGGCATGTACACCTAGGCATGTATACCCAGCCCAAGGAATCACCATTCAATTTAAGACGAAGGGTCAGATTTCATACTGAGACTCGGCTCTCTCCCAGAGTGCATTTTGTCTGCTTCTCAGTCCCTAAATCCAAGTTCTACGCTGCGCAGAGATCTGGCCCCATTGTGCCTAGCTGGCCTTCTAGCATGGGCATTTTTTTTTTTTTGGTATGTCTTTTGCTAAGAAAAGGCAATGTGCTTTGCCTCCCTAACCCAGCCGCAGCCTGTCGTCCCCCAGACAAAAAGCGGCGGCCCAATGCTCCCTGCAGCGGCTGCGGCGGCGACGCAGGGCGGCCGACCCACCCGAGACCCGCGGCGCTACGCCTTTGTTGGGCCGGCTACAGATGGTGCCCCAGCACGGGGCTGAGCCGGGGGCGGGTGTGGGGGGCGG